ACACGTGCACATGTAACAGGTAATCTCCTACCAACATACATATAGTCAGACCAACTACCGGTCACTAAGCATAGCCACATTCAATCTACCAGAATACCGATCTAACAGAGCGTACCATCATATAACCATCCTATCTACCAGGATGCCAACTAACATAACACAGCAGTAACTAACTCAAATAACAAATCAAAGGGCCGGCCTTGGTGCCTTAGACCCTTGGGTAGAATGAGGATAACTCACCTTGCAACTGCCGAGCCGAACCATGAAAGCACAATCCCGAAGCACTGCCTCAAACTCCAACACCTATAGCCATCAATGATCTATTGACGTAAATAACCAATTACCATAACACCCATGAAGGTCAAAGTCAAAGTCCATGCCAAAGTCAAACTTCATGACTGACCCTACTCGCCGAGTCAACCCGTTGACTCGTCGAGTCCTTATACTCTGAAAACTCTTAGAACATGACTCAACTCGCCGAGTCACCCCAAGATCGTCGAGTCCAACGATCTCTGAGTCCCATCCTGCTCAACTCACCGAGTCACCTCCCGACTCACTGCTTCGAGGTTTAACCAGAAGAGATTGGGGTTCTGCGACCAGACTCGCCGAGTCCAAGAACAGACTCGCCGAGTCCAAGGCAATCTTCAACAGACTCGTCGAGTTGTTCTTCCAACTCTCCGAGTCCATGCACATGTTCATACAACTCGTCGAGTACACCCATGTGACTCGCCGAGTCTCTCTAGTTCTCAATCCATACAGTGGCTTTTCGAACCATGCAGGGGCTCCAATCCATAGATCCACTCTTCTATAGTCTAACCCTCACATAAAGTGGCAAAATTTACGTGAAACCAAGGAGATATAGGCCCAAAACACTCTAGGGCTAGGGTTTATGACAAATAGGCTTCACCAACAACTCATTGACAGATACTTTATGACATTCTGGACCTGCTCAAGTCTAGATCTGAGGTAGCAACCTCAGATCTATCCTCCAAACCGGAAATAACTCTCAATCATACCAAAAATGCCCCAAATCTCAAACAATAATAGATCTAGATGCAAAAGAGCCCAAGCAACAGATTATTACCTCCAATATAAGCTCCAACTGAAGTAGATCCCGGATCTACACCACTCCTTTGCAGCAAGCCTCTTGATCTTCAAGCCTCTTTCCAAGATTTCCTCCTCCAAAGCTCTATTCTCTCTAATAATGGAGGCTCACTCGATTTTAGGGTTTCTGGATCTTAAAAGGGTAGTAAAGAGGCTAAGGGTGGGTTATAATGTTCTTTATATAGGGCACAACCCCCGGGATTAGGGTTTTCTCTCTACAGCACCAACTTGTCGAGTCTAAGCCGCCGACTCGGCGAGTTGGCCACTTAAACCGCGACAGAATCCCGCTCCGACTCGGCGAGTAAGCATACCTACACGTCGAGTCTCTTCTTTTATTTACACTTTAAGCCCTTCAATAATACTTTTGGAATTTGGGATGTTACAGTTTAAGGAGACTTGTGGGGGAAGGATAAGAGTACAATGAGTGGACAAGGCTGATGTGAATAGTGACTGAGGGTGTCATGGAGTGGGTATGGGAGGTAGCTTGTGTCTTTGCTTTATGGAAAAGTCAACACTCCACCTTTTGTACTTTGCCTTTGCTCTTAAGAAAAGTGTGGGTTTTAATACAAGAATCCTTAGAATATGCATATTTTATGATCTTGGAAAGTTAAAAATAATAAAATATGGATTTATACGAAAATCCCGTGCGAAAATCATCGAAAACGGGCTTAAAACGAGATCGGGTTCGAAAACCGGGAAGAAATGGTAAAATCCGAAGTCAGGCCGAAGGTTTGGTCCTTAGAGGGTGAGACCCGAACCTAGCCCTCGGTCCGAGGTGGAGACGCGAACCAGGCCTTCGGGCCCGAAGCTGAATGGGGCGAATGGAGGCGATCAGAAGCGAAGGGTAGTTCGGTCCGATGGGACCTTCGGTCCTCCGAAGTTCGGGTTCGGTCCATGGCAGGTTCGGTCCTCAAGAGTTCGGTTCTTAAGCTAGTCTCGGTCCTTAATGAGTAGTCTCGGTTCTAAAGAGAGGCTTCCGTCCAGGAGGCTTCTTAGGGTTTCGCCTCTAAGAGGGTTTCGCTTCTATAGAGCTGTTTTTTGCATAAACTTCCCGTTTTGAGCGGTTTTTGACTAAGTTAAGGGTCGGGGTGCCCTAAATGATCATAAAAAGTTGAGGGAGGTTATGAGAGAGATTTGGGAGAGATTTGAGATTGATTTGGGAGAGAGAGAGAGAGAGATAGAGCGAGAGAGATTTAGAGAGACGTTATTTGTGACTTTTGTGAGTGTTTATCCTTGAAATGCAAGGTTCGCAAGACCCGGTAATCCTTGTTATGAGCGTTATACGCCCCCGAAGGGTATGTATTAATGTTTTACTGAGCAGTTTACCCTGATTAGGGTTTAGATTTTTCTGAACATAGGAAGACTTAAAGTGATACTTGCATTACGATGGTGTGTTGTACAATAGTAAACACGATGTAAAACCCTAATATACAAGGGTTAATTGAGTTGACCGGTTTGACTTGTTGACTTTATTTGACTTTGACTTAACCGGAAAATGACGGTTGTCACACCCGCGATCATCAAAAGTACCTGAAACACATTTAATCCACAACTGTAAACACGAAGCTTAGTGAGTTTCCCAAAATATCACATACAACACAACATGATAAACAATTATGGGTTCTCAGCAACCTTGGGGATTTTCAGCAATCCCAGTGGGCTAATAACATGCCATGTGGATTAACAACACACCTCACGGGTTATCAACAACCCTTGAGACTTTCAGCAGTCCCACGGACTCACAACAGTACAAGACTTATGAGTAACCCAGTTTCACATATAACAACAATTAACAATTAAGACCCAGCTAGTTAGTATGTATACACTACCACACAGGTAAATATAATGAGAATACCGACCTCGCGGATAGAAGAGAAACACAATAGTTCACAAACAGAGTAGACAGGTACGATGATATACCTAACATCAATATAGAAGTACCCTCTCAGTTTACACCCTAAAACCCTAATTTGACCAAAAGTCAACCATGATCAAAATTCAACGGTCAAAGTCAGCCCCAACTTATCGCCACGTCATGGCTACCCATTGGTCACGTCATGAAAAAGTTAAGGAAAAACTAGCCACGAAATAGTCCGTCGTCATGTCGTGAGAACCGTTCTAGACAGCTTAAAGCATTAAGCTCTTACTCCTTCAAGTTAAGCATTCAAACTTTGCAGAAGGATTTCTCCAACCCAAAGGACCATAAAAATCGTTGCTTTTTATACATGCATGTCTAATGTGTGTCTTGAACACAAACTAAATCAAAATGAAGGGAAGATGAGACCAAATCTCATGTATGGAATCCATAACTCACTAATCTTCCAAATCTTGAGCAAGGGGTCACAAAGTAGTCTCAAGGACTCATAAAGTTGCCAACTTTATGAGATCCCATCATTCAAACTTCCTAAAACATTGAGAAAAGTGGACAAAAATCGAGATCTAACATGCTTGAGCTAAAAAGGCAGGAACTTGAGGACCTATGAGAGTCCTAAGGTAGCTCAAGGTGACGAGGAAGAGGCTTGATAGTTGAGAAGGTGCTCCAAAACTCCTTCTCTTCTTCTTCTAGGCTAGAAATCACAAAAAAGGGGCTCATAATCAACAATGGAGGATTAGGGTTCTCTTGAGGGTGAAGGGAGGTGATGGAGGTCGAGGGTGTGTAAACCCTAGCCCTCAATTCCCTTATATAGGCGTAAAACCCGGTATTAGGGTTAACCCTCAGGTGACCTTCACATCATGACCACCTGCTTGTCATGTCGTGACCAGGCCCGTCCCAGAGGGTGGGCGATAGGGGCGACCGTCCAGGGCCCATCTTTTAAAGGGGACCAAATGTTTTTATGGAAATTGTTATATTTAGAAGATAGTACAAGTAATTTCTTTCAATTATTGATTTATCATAAAAAATTTGATGACATTTATGTATTTTAAGGGCCCATTTTTGTCTTTTGCCCTGGGCCCAAAATATGTTTGGAACGCCCCTGGTCGTGACCCACGAAAATGGATGTGCGCTTCTACATTGATGGTCACATTGTGAGGTATCCTTCATCACATCATGGTCATCTCAATATTCATAATTTTACATCTTTAATTTAACCAAATACATAAATGAAACATTTACCTGGAATAGGCATTACATCTACAACATGTTATGTTCTTCTTCATGTAAGTTGTTGTCTCTTTTGAAATCGATTTCTACACATTGTGAAGGATTATGTAAATACGTATGTTTTTGATTCCGAATTTCTCCATATTACAACTTATGTGTTTTCATAAAATGTTGTTTTTTATGGTGTATTTTCTACTAATTTCTCGTGTCCACATATGAATTGTAATGTCATTTTTTGAATGTTCTTGAAAGACTTAGCTTATGGTGTTACATTTTGATGGTGTTTTTGAATGTTTTTTAATAGACCAAGCTTTGTTTGCTAAGTTGTAGTTTTAGTATGATTCTTAACAGAGGGTATATTGGTCTTGAAAGTAGATTGTTGTAATGAGTCATACATTATGCCTTACTTTTTCTTGTAATGACTTCAACTTGTAATCAAACTAACACTTATGTTCAAAAACGTTCAAAAAAAAGTATAACAATTTAACTTTTGGATATCTTATTTTGTATAGATGTCATTTTGCATATGTAAAGTTATAAAATTTTGCATTTATAGTTTATATATTGTATTTGTTCTCTTACGTGACTTGGTGATCTTTGACTTTGGCTTTTACATCAAGAATGTTGTTCTCAACTGATGGTGCACTTCATATAAATGTTTACCACCAATGAGTGTTTGTTCATAAGCCTTTGATTTACTTCAACCCTTATAAGACTATTGTTATGGGTAGAAATTTACAAAAATGGAGTTAATATCTACCTTCGAAAATTGATAAAGGATAAATGTTGTGATATGTATTATTATCTTCCGAATCAGGCCATAATAGATGGGTTAAAGGAGCTGAGATATAAAGATGATTATGTGAGGTTTCTTGATGTTGGATATATTAATGATTGTAAAACCAATATCTACATTGATCACTACCACAAGACAATTATGGAATGGATTGAAGAAGAGAAATCCGAAAAAGGGGACAATGCTAGTGAAACATATGAAGATGATGTGGACTCAATCATGTCAGATGATATATCGGTAGACCATGAAGTTGAAGAAGAGGTTATAGAAATTCTGAAATCTTTTGATCTTTTTTTGTCCAAGAAGAATCTTATTCCAGAAGGAGGGGTAGATGATGAGGTGGTACAATTTCGTATTTATGATCCCAACCAGAAATAGGATATAATGGTACTTGTATTAGGTATAAGATCCTCTGAACGATATGAACTCAAGTAAATGTTAACAAAATTATGTTATGTTTAAAGGTTTTGCATTGTGTTATGAAAAAAATTAATCAACTAGATAGTTAATGAGGTGCTGTAAAAATAAGGAAGGAAAGGCAACTTGTGCATTTAGAATATGGGTTATTTTCGATGAGTAGTGAAGATTCATTCCATATCAAATATCTAATTAATGAACATAGTTGTCGTGGAGCACTTATTTTGGGTACTATTGTGACATACATGTGGATTCATAATATGTTAATCAATGACTTTTTGGAAAGGCCCCGCCTTAGTTACAAGAAAATGGTAGCATTAGTGAAGAATTTTTTTGTTCTGAATGAAATTGTTGGGCAGTGTAGAAATGCCAAGAGTTTTGCATAAGATGAGAATTTAATCAGTTTGGTGGGACGCTATGAAAAGTTGTGGAATTATGGTGTTGAGTTATTAAGGGATAACCCGAGTTCAACAGTCTCAATACAGGTGAATCATATGCCTGATTCTATATTTTACTTTAAAATGATGTATGCTTTCCTGAAGGGTGTGAAAGATGGTTAGATGGAAGGATGTAGGAGGGTAATTGGTGTTGATGGATGGTTTTTTTAAGGTTACTTGCATATGTGAGCTAGTATTAACTGTTGGTAGGGAATCCAACAACTAAATGTATCCTATGGCATGTATTGAGGAACAAGTAGCTGAGGAACATGTAGCTAAATGTGACATCCCCAATTTCACGGCCAGAAAAGACCGATTTGTTTATGCTTTATTTGAAAATCAGAGTATCCTTTTGAAGAATAATGTTGCGAAATTTGTGCCCAAAAATATGATAAAGATATTATCAAAGCATTTCCGAAAAATGTATTTTAACTATATTAAAAACATTGGGATGTCATTGTCAATACAACACATAAGCATAAACTGAAATAGTACATGCCTTATAAATATCTATTATTCTAATGGCCTATGATCCATAGATCTCTCATCAGATCAACATTCATGTGCTCTTTTGCCACTACCTGTAATACAAGAAACTGAGTGGGTCAGACTTGGTAGCCTGGTGAGCACATATGGTTTTCAACCCACAATAATTAAATTCTTTAATTTCATCAAATCATTCAACCCGATTACCCATTCCCGTTATCCTCACTTTCTGTCCCTAAAGCATCTAATTCAAGGGACCTAGCCTAAGGATCATCATCGGGAAGACAATACTGCACAGGGGATTTCTTAGCAATATATGTCAGTAAGGCAACCATGAGGGGGATGGAGTACACCGGGTGAACACATCTTTCACAAACACCTACAGGTTGCGAGCCTGCTAACGTTCCACTAGACTGTCTAGAATAGTGTGTGATCGTCATCTATACTCCGCTAGATGACTGGGTCAGCTTTCTTTTGTATAAGGTGTCTAAGTCCATAACTATATTTGGTATGTACTTGACCCGACCCGGCATGGTCCATTTGGGTTACACTTCACCGAAACAATTTGTATGGGTAATCTTTTGAGAATAGTATATTTATGATTTATTAATATATTATAAGTTATAATATATTAATATGAAATCATATTATTTAATTAGTATTGATCAAGAATTAATTTAGTGATCAAAAGGAAACTAATTAGATATGGATTCTCTTTTATATATAGAATGGGCCAATGTTTATTTAGGATGGGCTAAGCTTGCATTGAAGTCCATGGATAGTCCATGGAGCTTTTAACCCATGGATCCTATGGAAATGATAAGTTATGGGTATTAGGGCTTACATGGATGTAACCATAATCCACCATACTATATAAAGAAGTCTTTGGCACTTGAAATGGCACTAGTGTGTGTGATAAAGAAGGTGGGCCGATTTCTAGTGTGCATTACTATTATCTCAAGCTTTTCCAAGTTGTGTGGTGATTTGTGATTCCACTTGAGGCATCCACATTATCGGTGCTAGGCTCTCAAAACTACAAGAAATCAACCACAAGAAAAAGGTATGTCATTCTACTAGATTTTATGTTACAAGTACCCCATAACATGCTAGTTAGGATGTGAACCTTGAAAAAATCAAATTTGCATGTATATTAGAGAAAACATAGATCCAAGGTTTCTAGGGTTGCATGTACACCATAGGAGTGTTAGAATGCTCAAAACCCATCAGTGGTATCAGAGCCTAGGCTTGTTTTCATTATACTTGATGAAAATTGCTTGAAAAAGTCGAAATTGTGCTCATTGTTCAGTGGACTCGCCGAGTCCATGGGGGGACTCGACGAGTCCAAGGGAAAATTCATCCTACTCGTCGAGTAGGTTCATGCATTCGGCGAGTAGGAGGCCCTGTGTGCAGATTTTCGAGTTTTGTTGCTGGAATTAGATTAGAATCATTACCCTAAACTATTTTGGACTTGTAAAATTTGTTTTTGATGTGGTAATGATTACGCTAATCCAATTTCAATGATATTTATCAAAGTTTCAAGTTTTATATATGTTTATATGATTCTTGAAATTTGTTGATATGAATGTTCATGCTTATGAGTTTTAGTAGATCATAGGAATTATTTGCAAATTGTTTGTTAGAGTAATTCTTGATCTAAATGCCAATTAATGGACTCCATAACTTGTCCTCAAGTTATGGAATTCCAAAAGTCTTTTCTATAAAACCATTAAAACTCATAAGTTATAGAAATGAAATTTTTTTGAATAGTTTCAAAACTTGCCCTCAAGTTTTGGAATTTGTAAAGTCTCACACACACTTTAATTCAAAACCCTAGAGTTTTAAAAGCTTAAAATTCAACCCTTATACTTTATAATATTATAAGTTAATAATACACTCTCACACACACACACACACATATATATATATATATATATATATATATATATATATATATATATATAAGATCAAGTCAGTATTACCGTTAGTAGGCCTCATGCATGAAGCCAGTCTATAAGGGGGGTATAAGGTTGTTGCCTATAAAATGGCAGCTTAATGGGTGTCCACTCTCACCCACCGCTTCCTTGACTGGTGGAGGGTCGTTAGCCGAACAGGTAGGACAAGGACTATAATTCTCATTAAAAGTATACTGATAAATATAAAGTAACTAAACCTTTTATAAATTCCCAATCTTAGTTACTTAGCAAAATGTGAATTTGGTGCTAGCCCATGAAATTACACTTTGTACCTTACCAATTCGTTAGTGGAGCATGTGTCGTTAACCGGCACACTAACATGGACTAGTAAGAGTGGCAAAGGGTAACTTAATGTTTATCATAGATTGGTGGAGCGCGTGTGGTTAACTGACACATCGATTAGGTGATAAAATTAAGGGTACGAAGTTAATTTGCAGGGTTATTCACACCTTGTTTGTGATCCTCGGCATCCCAGTCACAAACTTGAGAGGGCACAATCGAGATTTAAACATGCCATTGAAAAGTTCAATGAATCTCAAAAGAATCTAGGAATTTCAATTCATTAAAACTTAATAACTTATTTTGTTTTTCATGGTGGAAATTGGTGAATCGTCATTCACCTACCTTCAAATATTTTATGGCTTGGATTACGACATCCCTTCTCTCTCATGAACCTTTGTGGGAGGGTCATTTTTGATGGAACTAATTTCAATGACTGGATTAGGAACATTAGAATGGTCACACGCTATGAGGACAAGGAATATGTCCTTGACAAGGAGCTGAAGGAACTTGATGAGTCATCTGCTACTCCACAGGAGGTTGTTGATTTTAGGGCACATGAGAAAGATGCCACCAAGGTGGCTTGTATCATGCTTGCCACTATGGCACCTGAACTCCAAAAGTCCTATGAGGACTTCTACCCTTTTGAGATGCACCAGGATCTGATGGAAAGGTACCATCAGAGTGCACGTCAAGAGAGGTATGAAATAATCGCCTCCATGATAACAACTAAGATGAAGGATGGAGAGTCCATCATGGGCCACCTACAAAAAATGCAAATATTTATGGACCGTCTGCTCAAACTGAATGTGAATTTTGATGAAGAGCTGGCTATTGACATCATAATTCACTCCTTACCTCCCTGTTATGATCAGTTCCGCATGACCTATCACATGAATAAGGAGGAGGTCACCTTGAGGAAGCTGTAGGGACTTTTGAGGACTGCTGAAAGCAACCTCAAAGGGAAACATGTTGTTTCTACTCCTACCACTGCCCCTGTTCTGGCAATCGTTCATGGAAAAGGGAAAAAGAGGAAGACCCCTTCGAAGGATACCAATGAAAAGTCTCTTGAAGGCTCCTCTTCAAGTGGAACCAAAGGTCGTTCTGCTACTCCCACTTCCAACCCAAAAGAGCACAATGCTTCTATTGGCACTGGAAGTGAAGCTGCCCCAAGTACTTGCAGGATATAAAGGATGGGAAGATCAAGCCCTCCTTTGCAGGTATTTACACTATATTGTCTAATAACTCACCACATATTAATTCTTGGGTACTTGATACAGGGTGTGGAATTCCTATTTGTTCTTATTTGCAGGGACTAAGAAGAAGTGAGGAAGTGGAGCACAGGAAGATAAACTTAATCATGGGGAATAGGAAAGCATCACCTGTCGCCAAGATTGGAGTTTACTCTTTATTGCTAAGTAGTGGGTTAACATTAGATTTGAATAAATGTTGTTACTCGTCTGAAACGGCGAGAAATATTATTTCTTTTCATGGCTTGTACAAACAAGGTTATAGTTTTTCATTTGATAATGAATGTGGTGCTATTAATGTTTTTTATAATGATGTGTTTTATTTTAAAGCATTAGCTTGCAATGGTGTATATGAAGCTGTGAATGTTGTAGATAACTTAGGAAATAATGTATTGCATATTGATTCTTCCACTAGTTTAGATAAGGCATCCTTGTGGCATTGTCGTCTTGGGCATGTCAACAAGAAGCGCATAGGCCAACTCCAGAAGGCTGGAGTCTTGGAGTCATTTGACTTAAAGTCAGATGATAGCTGCGAG